AGGAGGAGGATGGCGATGGTGCCCTTGAGCCGCAGGAGGAGGATGGCAATGGTGCCCTTGAGCCGCAGGAGGAGGGCGAGCACCACACGGAAGGAACGAGAGAGCTGTGCAAGAGAGGTGGCTTCGGCTCTGCTTCTCCATGGGCGAGCAGCCTTGGACTTCAGGTGTCTGTAAATAGTGGTAGGAGTCCCACTCCAAGTAGCTTCAGAAGAGTCGTGTCCCACTGGTCCCCTCCAAGGGATGTTGCACCGAGTGTACTGCCCACTCCCTGTGTGCATCCCTCTGCATCTGAGCAAACCTTCAAGGGGAGGGCTCGCTTTGGAAGACAGACATCCCTTTGAAGAACAACTGGAGACAAAGCACCCATGTGAGTCCATGCAAAGGCAATAGCATTGAGGGGGATGTCCACAGGAAACGGTGCCATCCCCAGCAGTGAGGCTCAGGAAACCTGTCCTTCACAACCAGTAATGAGTGAAAATGGAAGGCTGGAAAATCAAAGCTGAATGAGTGTGGGCGTCTGAGTATGAAGGGATAAATCTAGTGGAAATCTCCTTCAGCCAAACTGAGAAATCAGAGCAAGGCCTTTACTTCTGTCAACACCAACGCAGCAAAAATTGAAGGGACAAGGCTGCCATTTCCAATTGACCATTGCCATGGAAACACCTCTCAGCGTCAAGACCTGGTGGAGCAGGATGTGGGCAGCAAGTTGGGAATGGGCAGTTGGACAAAGGACCCGCTCAGCCTTCCAGCAGCACTTTGGGGATTTTTAAAAGCATTTTTTGTCAGTCAGGTGTGGCCAAGGGTAGGACTCTGAAACATGGGTTTGCAGCAGGCCATCAAGATACATCAAGAGGGAGAGGGAAACAGAAACCTAACTTTGATGATTCCAGATATTCCAGCTTTATCAGTCCAACTTACCTGTTTCATGTGGGAGATCTTGTTGTTACTCAAAAGACAAAAACTTGTCAAATTGGGGCAGAGAAGCAGCACACAGGGTGTAGGAAATAGCTTCATCATGTAGTGTACATGTATATGCATGTGTAAGCTGTGTTGGGGTGGATGGTACGAAAGAGCAAGATCTTTGGAACAGAAACAGGAAGCATAAAATGTTTGAAATGGCAAAGAGAAACATCTAAGAGCAGAAAGGGTGAAATTATCACATTTAAATGTGGGAGGGTGTTTTAAAGACAAGTTTTGCTTACGGTGGAGAAACCACAGAGAGAGAAACAGTTTTAGCTGTTGGGTCTAGAATGAAGGTGAGACAGTGAGATAGGCTTGAGGTGATGGGAAGGAGGAAAATAACTGCAAGACTGGAGGACAGCAGAAGAAGGAGGCAGAAATAGCCAGGGGGTTGTAAGAAACCTGGACAATCCTATGTTTCTGTGTGCAAGCTTCCCTTGGCTTCTGAGCTGCCTTTTTGCTGGTAATCCAGATCATTTTTCATCCCTTTGCTCATGATGGTTGAAGTCTTGACAGCACTAATGAACAAGGAGCTGCTGGGCCACTATTTTTGTCCTGTTTTCTTCAAAAGGGAAGAAAGAGAAGAATGGTGAGAGCCCATGCTCACAAAAAGAGGCTAGAGGCAGTTCTGCTGGGAGCAGCATTAGCTCTCTGAGTAGCAGACCTTCCCGCAGCCTCACTTCTCGCCTTTGAGCACCCAGTGAAACACCAGTAACTCTCCCTGGCTGCACTGCCTTGTGCTGCAGGCACTGCTGCACAGAGGGTGTGGTGGCAGGAGGGATGCATTGCTGCTGTAATGCAGCAGCTTTTAGATCCCTCCATGCTATTACTGAAAAGTGTTGAAGCAGTTCAGAGCTTTAATTTGAAATTATCAGGAAGTGCAGTAGGAGTCTGAACAGGAATCTGGATTAAAATACTTCCCAGAATTTCTGCTAAGCTTCAATCTTTTTTTTTTTCCTTTTGTATTCATACATTATGGCTATATTTAGTCAAACATAGCTCTGCAGTGGTTTCGGTTTTTGAACCACTAAAAACCAGGAAGAGTGTGTGTGTATGCTTTTTATTAACCTTCCTTTCATAATACACTTTCTTCCCTATAGAAATCTCCTTTCCTGCTGATTCATTATGTGTCAGGAAGCCAAGCGTGACATGTTAAAAGCCATCTTGATAGTGTTTGGTATTCAGTACTAACAATTCACCAGGCACAGGAGTCTTTCTTTAAAAGGGGGAGGAAGAAATCTGCATATTGGATGTGCCAAGATAGTGGATAATTTGCATTAAGCATCCAGACATTCTTTTTTTGCAATCTGTCACCCTTCACTGCCTTTTTATTTTATAACCTTCATAGTATACAGGGAGCATAAGTACTAAAAAAAAAGTGACACCACGTGGACAGAAGCTGGAGCCGGAGCCCTTTAGGATCAGCTGGAGCAAGACTAGAGAAAGACCTTTCCTCAGCAGCAATTGATCCTTGATGGGACTTTGCTATGCTGAAAATAATGGACATGGTCCATCCGTTATGTCTTGGCTTCCAGTTCACAGCTTGATTCAGACTTAAGAGCCATCATTGTGAATACACAAACCACCAGTCATGATTCACTTCCCAGACTTGCCCCCATGATGTGTTGCTCATCCCAGGATTTCACAGCAGTAGGGAGCAAACTCTGCCATCCTGCTGTAAAACAGACTTTCTGTACCCAACAACGCAATGCAAGCTCACTTCTTTAGCAAAGCATTTCTGAAGTAACCTCTGAAGAAATGACTTAATGCAAACTTTCTCAGTAATAATTACAGTTCAATAACTTTATGTCATATAGCCAGAAGTATCCAAAATACCTCACTGTCAATGTATCTTTGACAAAACTGCTATTTGAACATCACTTACTAGGCAAAATATCACAGGTGACAGAATAATGTACCTTAAATAACAAAATGGATGTGAGTGGAGGTAGTGAAGTGGCAAGTGTATATAACTTAAACAGATATAATAATAGAGATGGAGTGTTAAGAGGAAATTCAAAACTGTGAATGTACTAGAAAGCAAAATCTGTTGGGTACGATAACAATAAATGTGGTTGTGAAGCAAACATAGAGGGACTCATTACTAAACTATCTGCACGCTTTAAATAGTGATATGAGGAAGAATACTTGTAAACCTTATTTACAGTATTTCTACAGGTTACCCAACCTGGCCAGTAGAAATATGAATTCTGTAATATAAAACTAGACCAAGACAAGATGCAGTTAGGCAAAGTGACATCAGTGGGGATGAGGGAATACAGCAACAAGTAACAAAAAAGGCAATAAAACTGCTTCCCAGAGCAGATCCAGGAACTCTGTTCCACTGGCAGCGTGTCTGACACACTAAATGAGCAGCATCAAAGAGAACAGGAGATTCACATGATGTGCTACCCCTGTGACCATGGTCATTAGCTGTCATAAACATGCTTTCATTTGCTTCTGATATTCTTGCATGACATGAAGCTGCTTGCAGCTTGTGCCCCAGCCCTGCAGATGCTCCTGGCTGTTTAGGGAATACCAGAACCTGCTGCTGCTAGCTTTTTACGCCCTCACATCAGGGACCGTCACCATTCAGGGATCTGTGCATTTACTACAAAACCTAGATCTGTGGGACTTTTAACTTTGATTTGGTATATTTTGATTAAGGGTTTTAGAACACAACATGCGAGGAATGTGCCTTGCTTGACTATGGCAAAGACACTCCTGAAAAGAAGCTGCCAGGCATGAGAACACCTTGGAAATGATGTTACCAGGCAGCACTTTCCAAAATCTGCACATGAACTCTGATGCACACAAAGGATAAATAAATAATATGCACATATAAATTGCTTAGAGAGACATTAAAGGAGACAGAAGATGCTTTGAGTCAGTTATTATGGATAAAATATTTTATAAGTGCTATTTCCATTGTAAGTCAGGTTGCAAATATCACTGTTATGGGAAATTCTGCATCTAAAAAAAATTCTGAGAGGGAGCCTTTATTCAAATCACATATCTGCATGCAGTTTTGCACTCTTATTTAAATAGCTATCAGGCCCAGAGAGTACCCAAGAAAAAACCCTTCAGTTTGCAACATGTTCTGCAATATCACCCTCCTGTCCGTTTTCACAAATTACTAAGAGGTTGTCCAAATCTGAAGAGGAATTCACACAGTGTCTGTTAGTCGCTCCCAAAAAATGAGTCAGTCTTCACTGCTGCCAGCCAGGATCTGACAATGAAGACCTGGCAGAAGGTTTGCATGTGCTGTTACACTGGTGTATTTTGGCTGCTGATTTTACTATAAAGCTGATTTTGTTTTCATATTAGACAGAAAACGGTTCCAAAATGCTCCTTGGAACTGTACTGTTTTACTTCAATGCAACCAAGTCTTTTGTTGCTTTTGGGTTTCCAGTGAAGGTTCCAGGCACTACAGGGATAGTCTTTGCAGGTGCACAGTCCCTGTCTGCAGCAGACTGAAAAAGAGCCAGATACTCTACTGAGGTGTTTTTCCTTGGTATATACCTAATTCAGGAATTGCATTTGGAAGCTTATGAATACCAAGGAGCAGAGTAAACCATTACCGTTGCTTTTTACAGGTCTCCTTCAGTTCTGACAAAAAGCAACAGGAATGGGTTTTGATGGTTCTGGCGTGGTTTTGAAGTTTCTGATGGGAAATTTTACTGTTCTCTTTGCAGTTCATGGCATTAAGTGGACATGCAGCAATGGCAACAGCAGTTCAGGGTTCTCAGTGGAACAGCTCGTGCAGCAGATCCTCGATAGCCACCAGACCAAGCCCCAGCCTCGGACACACAACTGTCTCTGCACTGGTACCTTGGGTGAGTACCTCAGGAGGGCACAGAACATTGCTCAGCTTCATCCAAACTGGCAGCAGGGTTTGTAGTACTGAGGTGCTAGTTCCAATAAATGCCTTCCACATATGACCTGCTCAAAAGGATATGTTCTCTTCTACATGCTCAAATTCTGTTACCAAAGCCTCAAAATCTAATGTTCTTGCAACTTCACTCTCTGAATTCCTTGCCCTGCAGTGCACTTTGTTGAAGAAGTGCTCAGGTAGTTAATTACAAAGTATCACTGGGATAAGACAGGTCTTATTTAGGTATCACGAAAATACAGATTTCTTTCCTGTTAAAGGAGATTACTTTGTTTTGAAGAAGACTACAGCAGCAAGAAACAACATCCTTAGTGTTAGCATTTTATACAGATGGGGGAAGCTAAGTGATTCACTTTTCCAACTCTTCTGCTTTATAGCCACCCCTTTCTAGTACTTTGTTCAACTAAAGTATATGACACATTAACTAGTCTTTAGCAAAACTTATAAAGGAAAGCTGTCAGTGCTTCAAAGGATTTATTTTTTCTTCTTTTCTTGAGCAGTTGCATTATACAATCAAGACTTTAATAAGAATGATGACCTCTGAAATACCTGAATGTGGATTAAAATTCACCCCTTAAGGCTCAGCATTTGATCCAGGCTGGCAGATCTGAACATGAATCCTTTTATGCTTCCCTTTGATGTTTTGTCTTGTGCTAAGTCTTCTCAGTGCTTTTTAACATAACAGTACTGCTTTGTTTTGTAACGCTTGCACATTGACACACACATTCCCAATTCCTTACTGTCATCCACAAATACAGCAGTGTGAAAGCCTTTTCCTTGTTCCTGTTCATCTCTATACCTAGGAGAATAGAGAGATTTAATACTGCATTTAATCTCAAAAACACTGTCTTGAACTACTCTGTGACCACATTCAAATCTTGAGCACATAATAGAGAAGTTCCCCTTCAAGGACAAGGAACAAAAGATTTAGCAAATTGCAGTGGCTACATGGGTGCCTTATGTTGCCCAGGCATTTATAACTGTAGCCATTAGCTATAAGGAGGAGGCTTCTTCCCCTCTTTAGTCATTCAACGGTACCATAATTAATGTTCTTACATCATTCTAGGGGAAATTAATCAATTAAGGAAAGAAACATCAAAAATTAATGGGTTGCTCTTCTTTAAACAGCAAAAACAGTCCCCACGCCAGAGTTTCTGGCTAAGGTGCCTTTGCAGACAGAATTGTTTACTTCATCATGCCTGATTTCCAAGCTCCCAGGAATACAGGTGATGTTACCTTCTGTCAGGCCAGTAAAGGTGATGGCTGGCTTAATTTATGGAGGACTGTCTTCTGGTGACCCTTGCTTGAGTATTCTTCAGCAGCTCCAATGCTGGCCATGTGCTCTGCGTGCACCTCCCAGAGTACAACGTGTCTGTCTGTCAGCACGGAAACGGCTGAGAGCCAGAGAAACACATCACCATCCTTATGGGAAGGCAAGAATGCTTTGTATGGCTAATGTGCTATTTCTTCAATAATTTGATTGGCAACTGTAATAGACACAATGATGACAGGAAGGTGAGGGCTAATTCTAAGTGGCAGGGTGATGCCAGGGACAGGAGCATGATATGGCGTCTGTCACCTCCAGGTTACCAGTCAGCATCCACCCCACAGGAGCAATTGTCAAACCTCTCAACATCAGCCAGCATGAAGAGCTGAGTATCTGCGTCATGGGGGCTGAGGTCTTGTCCGTGGGGCAGATGGAACAGGGCCCTGTGCAGCAGCCCTTGCTCTGCAGACTTTGCACTGAGATTGGGCACATCTAAGTAACTCAGCGACTTGTCACGGATGCCAGTTCCTCTCCTCCTAACATGTTGCCTGATCAGGGCAGGGAGGAAGGGGACAGGTGCTACATGGGGTGAGGGTAAGGGTGCACACATGCCTGTTGTAAGATTGCTGTCGTTGCATGCAGTGCATTGGACGGGACCTGTACATCTGGCACCGGTGAGCAATTTATTTTATTTCCAAAGTCGCTTTTGCTGTCTCGTACGTGTGCTCACTCTCTCTTGCACACGCATGTATAAGTATAGCTCTCCCTTGCTACAACCATGAGATACACAACTAGCATTGTCTTAATTTTGTATTTACTGAATGGCAAATGTTTTTGTTTTTTGGCACAGGGGCGGGAAGCAGTGTGCATCATAAGTGTAACAGTGCCAAACACCGCATCATATCACCAAAGGTTGAACCAAGGACAGGTGGGTACAGCGCTCATTCAGAGGTACAAAATAATGATGTCTCTGAAGGCAAGAACGAGCACAGTCATGGCAAGGCCTCCAGCCGAGAGAAGAGGAACGGCAAAGTGGCGAAACCAGTGTTGCTTCATCAAAACAGCACTGAGGTTTCTTCCACCAACCAGGTGGAGGTCCCTGACACGACCCAGAACTCTCCCGTGTCCATCAGCAGTGGGTTAAACAGCGACCCAGATATGGCAGATAGCCCAGCTGTCACTGGTGTGTCCAGTATGGCTGTAGCATCAGTTATGGGAAGCTTGTCACAAAGTGCCACCGTATTTATGTCAGAAGTCACCAGTGAAGCTGTGTACACCATGTCACCCACCTCTGGCCCAAATCAACATCTTCTGTCCTCAGATGCAGCTGCACAAGGACTGGTACTTGCTGTGAGTTCAGATGGACACAAATTTGCTTTTCCAACCGGAAGTTCGGAGAGTTTGTCAATGCTACCCAGCACTGTCTCCGAGGAACTTGTGCTCTCCACAACTTTAGAAGGAAATAGAAAAATTCCAGAAACCACCATGAATTTTGACCCAGACTGTTTTCTTAACAATCCCAAGCAAGGGCAGACTTATGGTGGAGGAGGTATGAAAAGTGACAGCATCAATACCAACATAAGGCAGTCACCCACAACAGAACGTAGCTTCAACTTCAATACAACCCTCACAAAAGAAATTAAAACTGAGGACACATCTTTTGAACAACAGATGTCCAAAGAAGCATTTTCTTCCACTTCTGCATCTAACACACTCACCCTCAGTACTGGTTCAGGTTTGCTTCCATCTGGAGGAGGTCTGAGCCCAAGTACCACCCTGGAGCAGATGGACTTCAGTGCCATTGACTCCAACAAGGACTATTCTTCCAGCTTCAATCAGACCGTCCAGAGCCCTCATGTTCATCAGACCCCTTCCCCCAGCTTCTTTCTGCAGGATGCCAGCAAACCTCTTCCCCTTGAGCAAAACACTCACAACAATTTGAATGACACAAGTAGCTCATTTGTGAACACGTTAGGAATCCCCAATGTGAAAACAGAGTCCTCGTCCCAAACCACTTCCAACTGTAATGGCACAGTGGAAACCAGAATAGAGTCCACCTCTTCTCTCCAGCTCATGCAGTTCCAAGCAAACTTCCAGGCTATGACTGCAGAAGCTGAAGTTCCCATGGAGACCTCCCAGCAGGCAGAAGGAAATGAAAATCTACTTAAATCAGAGGATCTTCAAGCCTGCAACACAGAACACTACTTGCAGCCCGAGTCCAATGGGGGTATCAGGAATGGGAACAATCTCCCTATTCTCCAAGGAAACATGGTACAAGGACTCTATCCCGTGGCCCATCCCAGCTTAAATAACTCCTCCAACATGGAGCTTAACTTGGACCACTTTGACATTTCCTTCAGCAATCAGTTTTCTGATCTAATTAATGATTTCATATCAGTAGAAGGTGGGAGCAATGCTCTCTATGGACACCAGCTGGTGTCAGGTGACAGTGCCGGACTGTCTCAGCCTGAAGACAGTAACAGAGCGACATACAACCAGGCCCAAATGTGCATTCCTTGCTGCAGTCCTCAGCAGGCCAACATGCAGCTCAGCAGCACGGAGAATGGAGCCAGCACCATGGCCTACATGCATGTGGCTGAGGTGGTCTCAGCAGCTGCGGCACAAGGCACTTTGGGGTTGCTGCAGCAGAGTGGGCGCTTGTTCATGGTGACAGATTATTCACCAGAATGGTCTTACCCTGAGGTAAGTCCAGGGCTTTTACTTGGTAATGTTTACTGCTTTATCTTTCTTTGCCTTGTTAATAAGGGCTCACAAGAACGGTTTTGTTAAAGCTTTTACAAGGCTTTTAAAATATTTCTCTTCCAAGTTGTTGCATCCAGGGCCTTTTGCTTGTTTGAGTATACTTTTAATTAAGCCCTTCGTTACCCTGACAGGGCCCTTTCTTCACTTAGGAAGCATCTGAACAGAAACGTAATGTTTCATTGAAAGCAAAGTCTTTCCCATGCAATGGCTTCATGGTGCTACCTAGCCATGTTAGAGCAACAGAGTTTGCAAATGTTTCTGATGTTCTTAGTAGAATAATTCCAGACCTGCACTGCCTTAATGAGTTGAGCATTTCCCTCCATCTCACTGACTTTCCAAAATCAGTCGCATGTCCTGCAAGTTGAAAATGGCAGCAGCACAGGCTTTGCTGATGTGAAGGAATGTGGGAGGAAAGAGGCTGTTTGAGCCACTAATGGGAGAGGAAGGTTGTTTTGAATAAAAAAAAAATCGTTTGTGTTTTTATGAGCCCGGCCTTGGAGCAGTGTTGTGTCTGTGTGCTATCCGAGGTGTGTAACACCTGTTCCCGCTGAGCAGCGCTGTCCGGTTGCCAGTGGGATGCGGCCCCGTGAGGGTGCTGGGGCTGCGCCCGGACATTCCCGGCCTTTGCCGAGCGGCGTTCGCTGCGGGCAGGGCGAGCTCGGTACTGGGAGGAGCCGCAGCGGGCTGGGACCGGCACCGGGCTGGGACCGGCACCGGGCTGGGACCGGCACCGGGCGGCCTCGGTGTCCCGGCTCTGGCGCTGCCGTTGGCGGCCGCCCGAGGGCAGCACGGCCGCGGGGAAGGGGCGGCGGGGCCGGGTCAGCCCCGGGAGCCCTCGGGGGCCGAGCGCCGTCCAGCCGTGCTCCGCTCTGCCATGGCCTCTCCTGTCATGCCTGGGTTTCTCCCTTTTTTTCCTCACAGGGAGGAGTAAAAGTCCTGATTACCGGCCCGTGGCAGGAAGCCAGCAATAATTACAGCTGTCTGTTCGATCAGATCTCAGTGCCTGCATCTTTAATTCAGCCAGGGGTACTGCGCTGCTACTGCCCAGGTAAGGAGCACCGCTCTCCTACAGCGGGTGTTTTCAATGTTCATGTCCTGACCCACTGGGAAAGGCAGTGCATAGGCATCAAGAAGCTTTTCCTTTTTCTTTGACCTAGACAGTGTGAGAAGACCAATTTGACATCTTGATACATCACAACAGATCACAACAAATACTATTTAGAATCTCTGAATTAACTTTAAAATAATAATTTGAAGTAATTTAAACTAATGCTAAGCATTCCTTTAGTTTTGAAATAGCAGATTAAAGACTTATTTAGGGGTGCACTCACTGCTCTGCTGACTCAGTTTGCCTACATTTTACCCTTTGTCCTTGTTAGAGGATGAGAATATCTCCAGCCCCCCTACAGAGGATGAGAATATCTCCAGCCCCCCTACAGAGATTTTCAGTAGTGCTGGCCCTCAGTATGTGACTTTTAAGTGGATGCAGAATAACTTGGCTTCATTGCTAGGCCTTGGCTTCCCACTGGAAATGCAGTGAGGCTGGTTAATCTTTGGAAACACGTGATTCTGCCTCCTGCCAAAACAACCCATTAGGTGACTCTTGAGCTTAAAACCCCCATGTTTGAAAATACAGATTGGATTTTGGACTCTTCAGTTATCTAGTCCCAAAAATATTGTCAAATGCCCCCTCTCTTCACCTGCTCTCAGCCCAGTGAGCACATGGGGATATCCACAGGATAATTCCTTGCCGTGGGTTTCTGCGTGGAGTCCTGTCTTACCACATGCACTTTCCTTTTAGCTCATGACACTGGGCTCGTGACTTTGCAAGTTGCCTTCAACAATCAGATCATCTCCAATTCTGTGGTGTTTGAATATAAAGCCAGAGCTCTGCCAACCCTGCCTTCCTCCCAGCATGACTGGCTCTCCTTGGACGGTAAGAAGAGTGTGATATTCTTTAAGAAAGCTTACCAAATGTAGGACTGTGAGCAGCTCCTGGAGGAGAGGGGAGAATATGTAGAGGTGCAAGTTTGTGCTGAGGGAAAGGGCTGTGGCAATATTAAAGTCCTCTCACTGAAATTTCTTACTAGTTCTTTCCATGGGAACAAAATGTTCTGTCTTTGGTGACAAAGGGGTGTTTTCTTTGTCTGAATAGAAAGCTGATAATTTCCCTGAAACAAGGACTACCCAGTCCCTAGCAGGACAGAACCATTTACCCTGGATTTGTCTTTCCTGAGAACTCTAAAACTTGAGCTTGTCTAGAAAACTGTATATTTATTAAGCAGAAAGTGGGGGGATACTGAGACATACAAGAGGGACATTCTAAGGAAATTGGGGTGGTCCTGCCTCCAAAGAGTTGCGTGGAGACAGAGCACTGTGGTATTGCAGAGTAAAGAGAGGTTTGTGACATGACTGTAGAGGAACACTTGCGAACAGAAATGGAAATGGCTCTTAAAGAGCAAGTACACATAGTCTTATGTTCAGCATCAAAATCGAGTTTGCTTGACTTCATTGTAAGAGTCTGCAGGTGTTTTTCATCTGCCACCGAGGCCTCTGCTGCCTGTGGAGTACAGCAGACACTGTGTGATGTGATTGATACTCAGCTCTTAGCAATCTTTCCGGTGTAGCACGCTACATGGGTAGTTTTCAAACCCCTTGTTTGACAGTTCCCTCAGTGCTGATGAATTCAGAGGAGCTGAGAAGGTGGCTGTGAGTGCTGTCTCTGGTGCCCCTGCAGTTTGTCTGGGAGCTCTTGGTTAGTGGGCCAGCTCCCAATTAGAGATTGTTGTGCTGTTGTGATGGTGAAAGGGAGGGGAACTGCAGCAGTGAACAAACTAGGGCATTGCTAACAGGGAGGGGGAAAAAAAAAGTAAGAGGACCACTGCATTGCAGAGGCCCTTCAGGGAATAAGACTGAATAATTATACTAACCATGACTTATTGAAGCCTCTGCCTTGATGCACAATGCTCCAAAGGGAGCAAATTACACTCTTATTTAAAGGACCAGCAACATCTACCCATTTGTTGTTAGAGAACAAATGTTAGCTTAGCTAGCTAAGGTATAAGCTAATGTGAGTTGATTCTATCAATTGAATAAATACACAAATCCCTGTCTTCTCTGTTTGCTTTAATTTCCCTGCTTAAAATCCTTGCCCTACTGCCTGTTATGTAATCTTGAGAGAAGATTTTCAAGGAATATTTGTAGTCACAAAATATTGACAGGAATTTTAAAATTCTTTGAATTAACTCAGTGGAACACTCTGAGTTCCTTTGCACCACACTGTGAAAATACAGTTCATGATTCCAGGTGGCAGTGTTAACAGTCATACCTCAGGAATAGCATAGGAAAAGAACAAGCAATTTCCATCTCACCTAAGTTTGAATAAACAATTCTCTTCCACAAATCTCTTTATTTTAAGGTTAAAGGCATCCCGTATGTGAACTCTATGTTTTCACTTACACTAAGACAAAAATTGGGTTTTTTTGAGCACTGCACAAGTACTGGCCTTTGGGATCAGGGAGCAGTCCTGCAAATGACTGGGAAGTGTTGTGAGACCATTTTCTTCCATGCTGGTGCTTCTAGGACTGTATCGAGCCAAGTACAGGAATGCACAGAGAAGGATTTTGAAGGTGGCAGCATATCTGGTGCCATCCTCTGAAGGGCTCCTTCCTCTGTCCATGTCTGCTGTGCCGTGAAGGATAGTGCACCCTGTTCTGGCCTATACACAGACATGCTTGTTTTAGTCTGAGTTTTCCTTATTTTACTCCATGGATGAGTTAGATCTTTTACAAATGGGCACTTGACAGCAGCTGCTGATGTTCTTGCATTTTTTTTCTAGTTAATTGGAATAGTGGTGTTCTTTTCAAAGCAAGCCTTCCTCTTCGTAAAGGAAGCACTCCCATGTGATCCTGATTTGTACTCATAAACTTGGCAGCCTTTTCTTTTTTTGTGTAGAACTGTCAGTTTTCTGAAGCCATCATGTGCTTCTGTAGCCATTTGACCTCACTTTTCATTTGCTGTCTGTAGAGAGATTCTCTTAAGAAAGAACAGAAAAGCAAATGAGGCCCCTTATGAACTAAAGGGCAGAGATCTTCTTATGGCAGATGCATAACAAATTATAAAGGCATTTCAGTGCAGATTCCCAGTGGAAAGCACGTATGTTTGCCCTCCGCTGAAGTCTTTGCTGCTTTTCATAAAGTGTCTGAAGAGATGGTGTTTCCTTGGTGTGGGATGTGATCAGAAATTCCAGGGAAATGGATATGGGTGCTCTTGGCATTACACTTACGCATCTGCAGGAAAGAGGGCAGAACTTAAAAATAGGGGCAGACCATGTGTGTATTGATGAGTCAAGTGTGTATGGCATGGACAAAGGTGTGACTGGTACTGAATGTAAATGGCACTGATGCAGGAGCACTTGACAGGCAGCCTTTCAACTACTGCTGGGTTCTCTGTTTATGATCTGGCTGAGTTTCCCAGCTGGAAAACATAAAAAAGACCGAGGGGAGTTGGTGGCTCACTCATGTTAGCATGACATGGCCATACCAGTGGTATCCAAACTCTCATTTCGGCATGCAGGAGGTGGATGGAATCACACGCACTCACATTATCTGTGACCATACAGTGTGCGTGTGCTACCTGTGGCATTCCACAGTTTGATAGGTACATGATTTCTGTAAGGTGGTGGTAAGCATGCAAGGTGGTAGATGTTCATCACCAAAAACCATGGCACATGCCTATTTAGCAGGACTAGATGCCCTTCTTAGCATGCAGATGTGATGAGATGCAAGACAACAGTCAGGTAGGAGAGATGTGTTCAGTATCACTGAGGTCTTTAGAAATGTTGTTTTGCAGCTGTAAGAGACTTTTGGTAGAAAAAAAGTTCATGTTCATAAACAGTATCACTGTTCTTCACTCATCTTTCCATCTGGGTGGAGGTGACTGGATGTTTAACTTTACATCTTGGATTCTACCATAAAAGATTATCTATTTGGGTTCTCTTTGAGAAGAGGAATAAATGTTTTGTACCGTGTTACAGGGCTGCCATGCAGCTCACTGGGACATGTGAGCATTGATAGAGGACTATGATACCTTGCTCCTTCCTAGTGACAACACAGTAAACAAGTTTCTATTCCTCCTCCTCTATCCTGACTCCTCTGCAGTATGGAGGCTTTGTCTGTTCTGTATATATTCCTGCTGAGATTTCTTGGGGGATTTTTTTCCTTTCACACACCATTGTCAAGGACACTTTCAGGAAGCCAGTCTCCTACTGCTCTGACTGCATTTCCCAGACTGCCCTTTTCCATTTTGACCATAATGTGAGTGAATTGATGCGAGGAGCATTCAATTTTCTGTGCTGAGTGTTGTCTTCTGAGCCAGCCTGATTTCATGGTCAGACGTCTGATTCCTCTGGGATGTCAGTGTTTGTTCTCAGGCCGATGACTGAACATGTCCTGCTGCCCCGGGGAGTCTGCCGTGGGGCTCGCTGCTCCTCTGTGGATCGTGGGACTGCACATTCTCCGGAATTCTGTGTCACGTTTTAACGCTCTGCAAATTTGCCTTATTAGAGCAGTTGGTAAAAGTACAAATATTGCGTGTGTAGCGAGGTGAGGAGAACTGTGCGTACGAGCCTGGTTGCGGGAAGGTGACCGCAGGTATGTCGCGCCCCGGGCTCGACTCGCTGCCGCAGGCCGTGTTCCCGCACGCTCCGGGCGGCTCCGCGGGCGGCGGGAGCAGAGGAGGGAGCGGCGGGAGCAGCAGAGGGAGCGGCGGGAGCAGCAGAGGGAGCGGCGGCGGGAGCGGCGGCGGGAGCGGCGGCGGGAGCGGCGGCGGGAGCGGCGGCGGGAGCGGCGGCGGGAGCGGCGGCGGGAGCGGCGGCGGGAGCAGAGGGAGCGGCGGGCGGGCGGGCGCTGCCGCCGCCGGGGCCGCGCTGTAAACACGGCGCTGGCCGCCAATGGGGGCCGGTGACGTCAGGGCGGGGCGGGCGCGGAGCGGGGCAGGGCCCGGCGGCCGCGCCGCGCAGACAATGGGAGGTGGCGGCAGCCGCCGTCCACCCGCAGCCGCTCCGGGCCGCCGCTGAGCGCGGAGCCCATCGGACGGGGCTGGCATCCCGCTATGCGGGGAGCGGGGGGCCCCGGCGTGGGCTGAGGGTGGCGGTGGGACCCCGCGCCGCTGCTCCCCGCCCGGGCAACCGGAGCGCTCCGCGGCGCGGTCTCGGGGCTCCGCCACCCCCGCAAAGTGCCCGGGCGCCCCGGGGCGGGTACCGGCTCTCGGGGACTTGCGGGTGCGAGAGGGTGTCTGGCGCGGCGATGGGCTCGTGGGCGCGCCCGGGGTGACCGGGGCGGCCTCCGACTCCCAGCCCCTGCCTGACGCGCTGCCCGGGACGCCGCTGCCCTCTGGCCGCCGCCCCCGCGGTTCTTGTCGCGGGCTCCGGCGCACGGCGGGGCGGGCGGCAGCCGTGGACCGGCAGCGAGCCGCCCGAGGCTCTGAGGCGGCGCTGGCCCCGGGGCGGGCGCGGGGCGGCGGGCGCGGGGCGAGGAGTGGCCCTGTCCCCGCATGCCGGCCCGTGCCCCCCGGAGTCGGCTGCCGACCCCGGCCCCGCGGCTCCAGTTCTCGGGCGGCCGTGCTCGCCGCCATGCCCCCGGCCGCTGAACGGCGCCCGGCATCGTCCTCCGGCGGGGCCGCCCCGAGCCCCGGCCTGAGCCATGCCGGCCAGCGCTAGCCCGCCCGCTGCGGCCGCCGGGGCGCGGGGGGGGGCACCGCTGAGACCCGCCGGCGCTGCGGCAGCACGGCGGAGCTCCAGCTGGCTGCGAGGATGCGAAAGACGACAACCAGGTCTGGGGGGAGCCTGCTCTGCCCGCCCCTGCTGAGAGGGCTGCGCCAGATGCTGGCTGGAGCCTCCGCTGATGCCTTGTAGACTCCCAGGTCAGTCCTCTGGTA